GCATGACCTGCCCCTCTCAAAGCCATGCTGACTATTTCTAATCAAACTGTGCTTTTCCGAATAATTATAAATACTATCTCTCAGAATCCTCTCCAATAATTTGCCCACCATAGAAGTAGGAACTGACTGGTCTGTAATTTCCAGGATTATCCCTATTCCCTTTCTTGAACAAGGGAAAGACATTTTCCACCCTCCAAACGTTTTCTGTTGCAGTTTACCCACTATGCCACACTCTTCACCTGTCTGTAGCTACATTGCGTCTGAACAACCTGTAAGTCAGTGTTATGCTGTCCCTAGTGCCTCCTGTTGACCTACAGCTTGTCATTGTCCAGTAGGCGAACATCACATATATGTAAGCAATCAGGAAAGTCCAAATATCCGCTTTTATTTACAGAAAGCAAAAGAGAACACAAATAAAACTAAGAAGTTGAAATTTGCCCCAACAATGCAAACCAGATTTTGGCATCATGACCAATGAATATTTTGCCAGACACGGTTGTCTGCTGCACCCAGCTCTTTTTTATTGGACGTGGGTGTCAATTAAGTTCTGTCTTGCCTGTACCTGGGTCTGCCATGGATCATGACAGCTTCCTCCTCAGAAGACTGCTCCCATTCCCCATTTCTTTTGCATTCAGCACATCACTTCATTTTTTGCTCTAATTGTGCAGCGCATAGCATGACAGGATGATGCAGCACACGCTGTGTGCTCTACACTGGATGACACCACAGATGAGTCCACGTAATGGATCCACGTCTTCAGCAGCCCTATTCTCTGCTCCACCACTGACTATATTGAAGCATGAAGCACACTCAGCATCAGCAAGGATTGCACAGTGGTGTTATGAGCCATGGTTTCATTTGGTATCCCTTGTGCCCCAGTAACCAGCCTTGTAAGACACCTGGAAATGAATGTTCCAGAATGTATGAGTTGCGGCCGTAGCCAGGGTAGAAGGCACACACCCCCAGGAAGTAGTAACAGTGATCACAGATCACCTGAACATTAATTGAATGGAACTCCCCTCTATTGTTAATTCTGCAGAACTACATACTTGTGCACCTTGGTAACGAGCAACATGGCACAATCATCCAGCCACATTCATGCTCAGCATGTGCAGCAGTTTGGTGAAGGGTTGTGCTGGTTGAGTGACCACCCAATACAGTAAGAAGGGAATTTCTGTAATACTTCAACATCCTACACACCCTGAACTGACATCAATTTCTCAACTTCACACTGTGTTCTGTGTAGACCATCTTTACACTGATGTAAAAGATAACAAAATGATGTGTAGTTCATGCAGGATCCCCGGAAATTAGATGAATAATCGTTCCCTTTCAACCATCATTAGTCTTTTGTACTGTCATCGCTGTTAACTTCCACATTGTTGAAATGCCCAAGTTCGTGAATCGCACATGATTTGTGGTTCTAGGATCCCCGACCAACAGCAACCACACCCCAACCCCTCGACTATAAGTTGTAGCCCCTACCAGTTCCCAACATGGCCATTTGATTACATTAAAATGCAGTAAATTTGCCACATAAGCAGCTGGTGCATGATGCAGGTGTTGCATTAACCTCTCCGTGTGATGTTGATCCAGAATGACTGCTTTCCCCCTGCCCAGCTAAATCCTTAGTGATAAGCACAACAAACAGTCTGCTGAATTTCTGTACAAAAAAGCACCTCAGTGCAGCAGCAGTGATGGTGTGTTGGTGCTTCAGCCAGACAGTAACAGACATAATATGGCAGGGCAATGCAAGGCATGGATACTCAAATCATGTAGGTAGGTGCTGTGTAAGTGAGTACAAGCAGGCAACCCTGAAATGAGGTCTGCTGCAGTCTGTGAGATGGGTGCCTGACGTTGTGTGTGAAGTGTACCTGCTGCAACCTTTCAATATGCCTTGTAATATAAGTCTGTGCTTCCAAACCGGGTTTCCAGTGTATCCAAGATACACTGATGATTGTGTTGGGTTGGCAGATGCCACTGTCCCTGACACGGTCTGTGCAGCTGGTGTTTGTGGATCTTGAAATCCAGTTCGACTGAATGCAGTGCGGAGCTCTTTCGGAGTTGATGCTGCTAGGTACCTGCTTTGATTTCTATGTCGAGGTTTCTCAATGTCTAGCTTGTTTGGCGAGTTTGGTAAGATAGAAAGCTGTACATGAGTAAGGTGAGTTGAGCTGTCAGTGAAGCATTTTACAGCTTATTATCCCCCTTGCAAACATAAGCAAAGAACAACAGTCGGCCAGTGTGCCCTTCAAGTGTGCTCTGACATTCAATAAGATCATGGGCAGCATGGTGTCTCAGTGGTTAGCCTTACAGCGCCAGGGACCTGTGTTCAATTTTGACCTCGGGTGACTGGCTGTGTGGAGTTTGCGCGTTCTACCCCTGTCTGCACGGGTTTCCTCCGGTTGCTCCGGTTTCCTCCCACAGTCCAAAGGTGTGCAGGTTAGGTGGCTATGCTAAATTGCCTCCAGTGTCCAGGGATGTGTAGGCTAGATGGGTTAGCCATGGGATATGTGGGATTATAGAGGTGGGGGGGCAAGGGAAGATGGGTATGGGTGGGATGGTCTTTGAAGGGTCAATGTGACCCAGTGGGCCAAATGGCCTGCTTCCACTCTAGGAATTCCATGATCATGGCTGATCTGGTTTTAATCTCAATTTTACATTCTTGCAGACTTTTGATAATATTTTGTCCCCTTGGTAATCAGGAATCTATCTATCTCTGCCTTAAACATATTTAAATATACTGCATTCACTGCCTTTGGAGGAAGGGAATTCCAAAGACCTACAACTCTCCAAGAGATTTTCTTTCCTTCACCTCTGTTTTAAATGGGTGACCTCTAATTTTCAGACTGTGCCCTGTAGTTCTGGATTCTCCCTGAAGTGGAAACATTCTTTCCATATTCACCTGGTTGAGTCACCTCAGGATCTCATATGTTTCACTTGTGTAATTTCTGACCCTTCTAAATTCCAGAAGTTACAATTCTAGCCTGTCTAGTCTTTCTTCATGGGGCAATCTGCTCTTTCCAGCCTTTAGTACAGTTAACTTATTCTGAACTGCTTCCAATGCATTATGGTGCCCGGTGCTGTACACAGTACTCCAGATGCAGTTTCACCTTAATTGGCAATTGCCCCTGCTGACTGAGAAACCCACAACGGCACTTGTGAAAAGCATAAAAGATGGCACAAATGGCTCAGTGTCAAGATCATCCTTGCTAGGATTCTCATTTGCTTCTCCCACACATCTCACCACAGCTCATGTTGCTCAGACTCCTATAAGTTCCACCCTTTATTTCAGATTTCCAGAATGGGCCAATTTTGCTTTTGTTCTTAACCCTCTTTGCTTCCAAAGTTATATCTTAGTCGAGTATTTCATTTATATATTTTTCTAGAGAAAAGAAAAAAAAAGTTGGATGTTGCTGAATTATAATCTGTGTTAAGTGTTCATGCATAACTAAAACCCATTGTGCACAGTTTAGCTTTCGCATTAGTATTGAAAATGCTATGGTAGGTTTTATACATGGACGCCTTTTTTTATTCATTCATGAGATGAGGGTGCCACTGGCTAGTCTAGCATTTATTGCCCATCCTTAATTTGTCCAGAGGGCACTTAAGAGTTGACCACATTGCTGTGGGTCAGAATCACATGTAGGCCATACTAGGAAAGGATGGCAGCTTCTTTCCCCAAATGACATCAGTGAACCAAATGGATTCGTAATCATCATTAGACTCTTAATTCCAGATTTACATTGAATTCAAATTCCACCATCTGGCCATTGTGGATTCGAACGCAGGTCCCCAGAACATGACCTAGGTCTCTGGATTAACAGTCCAGTGATTAAAACCACTAGGTTATTGCACCCCCCCCCCTCCAAAAGTATCACATTGGGTACTCCAGCCTCTTCTCAAACCGGACTATTCTTGTGGCTCTATGATGGGAGAGCTAATTCATAAAATGTACTCTTTGTGCTTCAATTTATCTCTTCTCCAACCTCACTGAACCATTCCCCCTGCCACTTCAGTCATTTTTATAAAAATGTTTAAATTCGCTTTTGGTCATATTTCCCAAACTTTCTTCCACTATTTCTTAGCCTCACTTTGTGAAGTATTTAAGGGTATGTTATATTAAAGATGAAAATTACTTACTAGTTTTAAGGATTCCATGTTTGTTTTTTTTTATTTTTTCATTTCCTTGAATCATATAAAGTTTTCGAGAAGTCTTGTAGCTTGTGTTGTGGATGAGGTTGTAGACATGCTCGCTGAGCCAGCAGGTTTGGTTGCAAATGTTTTGTCAGCCTGCTAGTAACATTGTCAGTGCACCTCTGGTGAAACATTGGTGTTCTGTCGCGCTTGTTATTTATATGCCTCAGTTTGGGGTGTTTGGTACCACTTCCGGTTCTGTATCTCAGTGGGTTGTACATAGTTCAACTGGACAACACATCCCTAATCGCATAAGCAACACACAGACATCCTAGGGAATTCCTGGAGGCCTGGTATTCTAACCGGAACTCTATCAACAAATACAATGAATCAGACCCTCTGTACAAACCCCTGAGAAACAGAACCGTAAGTGCTACCAAACACCCCAACAAACTGAGACATAAACATAACAAGCGGGACATACCAGTGCTTCACCGGAGATGCACTGAAAATGTTACCTAGCAGGGTGACGAAACGTTTGCAGCCAAACCCACTGGCTCGGTGAGCATGTCTACAACCTTGTCTCTTATATTTTTGAATGTCCTTCTTGGAGAAGCGTCCATTCTGATCTCCTGCATGTAAGTGAGTATCTGTGTAGCTTCTTTAATTTGGTCAATCAAAATTTGTAGTAGTATTGGTGTTGCATATTTTCCATTTGTTCTCTGCATCTTTCCTCTGTGGTATCAGAAAAAACATAACAGTTGCCAGAAAATAAGTGATGATCCAAGGTCAAAGACATGTTTAGTAATTTTCTGTTATTTACAGAACTTATTACAGAGTAATTCCAGTGCACTTTTTTTTAGGGTATATGAGTTCAGGAGTTCATTATAACCCCTGTGAAAAAAGACATGGTGGACCAGAAGATGCAGACAGGTGAGGTATTTCTGTGATTAAGATGCTTTATTTAGTTTCTAAGTAGAAAGCTGAGTAGATTAATTTGTTCTTCAGATATTTAAAGTTTAAACATAAATGTATAGGCCACCCATGTTTATAAGTAGTTTTTATAAATTATTTTGTAACTTTGAGTAAAATTCTTAATCTTCAAACAGTTCATAGAGTCATAGAATCAGCACGGAAACAGATCCTTTGGTCTAACTCGTCCACGCCAACCAGATATCTTAAGATAATCTAGTCTCATTTGCCAGCATTTGGCCCAGATCCCTCCATACTCTTCCTGTTCATGTACCCATCCAGATGCCTTTTAAATGTTGTACTTTTACCCGCCTCCACCACCATCTCTGGCAGCTTGTTCCATACATGCACCAACCTGTGAATGAATAAGTTGTCCCTCAGGTGTGTTTTAAATCTTTCCCCTCTCATACCCTCTAAGTTTGGACCACTCTCTGGGAAAAAGGCTATTCACCCTATCCACACCCCTCATGAGTTTAAAATCCTCCATAATGTCACCCCTCAGCCTACGACATTCCAGGGGAGAAAAGCCTATAGCACAAACCTTCCAACCTCGGCAACATCCTTGTCAATCCTTTCTGAACCTTTTCAAGTTTAAGAATATATTTCCTATAGGAGGCAGACCAGAACTGAACGCAGAATCTAAAAGTGGTATCACCAATGTCCTGTACAGCCACAATGTGACTTCCCAACTTCTATTGTCAGTACATTGACCAATGAAGGTAAGCGTGCCATATGCCTCCTTTACCAGCATGTCTGCCTGCAACTCCACTTTCAAGGAACTATGCACCTGTATCTCTAGGTCTCTTTGTTTGGCAACACTTACCTTCATCTTCAAACAGTGTAATAGTTATGCAGACTAACAGTTGATCAGAGCTTTTTAGAATTTCATATCCTAAGAAAGGTAATTTTTTCGATTTGTGTTCAGTATCCAAACTTTATGGTATGCAAAAATAGTTCTAAGTTTTTAAAGTGGCAATTTGAATGGAATTTCATGGTAAGAAGCAGAATTTCCATTAAAAGTTCAGTTAGCTGTTCTGCTCAAAGTTATCATTCATATTTCAGCTCCAAATTTTATTTTATGTATTGGTAGATGGTATAAACCCTTTTCCTACTACATTCAGAAAATTGTGGATCTCAACAAAAGTGACTGGTGTTTATGAAGCAATATTGAAGAAAGAACTTGCATTACATAGCACTTTTTTATATTTATGATATTTCAAAGCAATCCTCAGATAGTCTAGCACTGTTGAAGTGTAGTCTCTGTTGCTAAACAGATCAGTCTGACAGCCCTTTTGCATACAGCTATTTTGGAAAACCTTAATTGAGGTAAAAGAACATGTATTTTTTTTGGCAATGTTGGATGAGTGATGAATGTTGAAGGAGACCACCCTTCTCTCAATTCTATTCTGGGATCAGCATAAACAAGTTGGCCTTCCATTGATTTGATTTAGGTGCTAAACAGAAGTGATTTTTAGCTTACTTATCCTGAATGGAATAGCAAACTGTGAAAATGGTGAGTATCGCCCATTTCTGTTGTCTTTCTTTAAATGCTAAGTTAAATACTGTGTTCAATCAATTAAAGTGCTTGGCAGAAACTGGCACGGCCCTCTTTAATGGATTGAAGTCAGTCCTACAATATTGAGAACTTACAAAATTGTTGCTGACAAAGACCTAGAAAAATGGACAACGAGGTACCATTACAAAGACAAACTCAATATCCGATTCTGGCCTGAAGATTGCAGCTTGAAATTTTTAAACTCATTGTGTGATTTTTGAGGTGAATGAAGGGAAAAATATCTTTTAATAATTTAGTGTTTAAACTTATCTAGAGTTCCTTCCATATTACAGATTTCGTCTGCTCACTTCCTCTAACAATAGCATAATACACTTTAGTTCTGTTCCAGTTTGGAATCCAGATGGCTAGACCTTAATCATTAAAGGTCACATAAATTTTAAATGCTGCAAACCAAATTAATGGTCGTCCTGAAAAGCTAGTAGGGTCATTCAAACTCCATATTACAGACTCCACATGTCTCACACGCCCAATTTCTTCAGACACGTGTTTCTTTGCCTCAGTTATTTGTAATTTATGTATATTATTTCCCCTTCACCAGGTATCATTCCATTCATAGGGGCAACAGGAAAAGTGGGATATCACTTATACTGATAAGGGTTAGCCTGAAAGTTACTTGCAAAATGCCAGGTAATGATTATCTCCAGCAAGACAAATGCCATTAGAATTAGTGAGCCACCTATTGTCAATATCCATGGGGTATCATAATGAGAAAATGAACCAGACCAACTATATAAGTACAATGACTGTGACCAGGTTAGAAGCTGGGAGTTATACGCCAAGTAATTCACTCCCTGATTTCCTAGAGCTTGTCTACCATTTACAAGGCAGGAGTAAGGAGTAGGAAGGAATAGTTACCACTTGGCTGGATGAGTGCAGCTCCAACAACACTTGAGCAAGCCCTTTGCTTGATTGACACCCAGCCACCAACTTAAACTGTCGCATCTTTTGCCATTGATGCATAGTAGCAGCAAGATGCACAGTGGCTGCTCATCAAGTGTCCTCAGACAGCACATTCCAAACCTGCACCCTCAACCATCCTACAAGATCAAGGGTTGCAGAAGCAAGGAAATACAACCCACTTACAGGTTTACTTTCTGGCCACACCATTCTAACTTGGAACTATATTGCTGATCCTTCATCATTGCAGGATTGAAGTCTTAGAACTTCTTTCCTAACAGCAATATCTGTGTTATGCCCACCTAATCACAGGAAATTAGCGATAGGTAACAAAGTGACATCTACTTCTCAAAAAAGATTAAAAAGGTTTGCACGTTTAAATTAATTTGTTGTACATTACAAAGAAAATTAAATGATGAAGTGGCGCCAGTTAACAAGCAGACACCTTGCTCTGATGAGTTTCCACCCTTGCCTGAATAAGTGGTTTTTTTTGCTGTGCCATTAATATTTAGGGCACCCTACTCTATATGGATGATGGTTGTGACATCAAGTGTTCGAACCATGATGTTGCTACTCCCCTTTGCATGGTGTTAGAGTGGAAATGTGTAAGATGTGAGAAGATAATGCTGCTGTTATTTGATGTGATTTGATGCAATGGATGAGGTAATTGATTTGGAACCGAGGTGCCCTTGTGATCCATGTGTTGAAATTTGTTGAGGCAGAATTTGGAAAGCATGCTCATCACTTGAGAGGTAAAGAGTTCCCCTTATTGTACCTGCTTTTATGAAATAATTTGAAGTTTTTTTATACCTTGGACCTAGGCTCTGGGGATTCTGATACTGGGACTGACTGTCTCGTCACTTCTGTTCCAAAGTTCTTCATGTTTAATGCTTCTTGGACAAATTAAGTTCTGAAGGATTGTGGAACGTTGATGTATTTTAAATTTTGTGGAAAAGCTCAGACTTATTTCATGAGAAGAAGTAATTGAAAGGTCACTGTGGACTTTGGATTTGCTGCAGAACTTTGTTTGAACATTGTCTTAATAGAGAGTGCTTTGATATCTGTAGATACTTGGGGCATCGGAAGCCTTTGAGGAAGGGCTGCCCACCTGATCCTACCTATCTTTTGAAAAGATTGTTGATTTTGGGTGAAACCTTTGTTCTTCTTGAAGAATAATTGCAGGAACTTCTCAGTATTGTGTTTTCTGAGAAAGCTGTGTCTACCAAGACTCTCAATACAATCATGCATGATAAGTAATTTGACCATATGTACCAGAACATCAGAGTGACAGCCTTTAAAACATTCTACGCTTTATCTTGTTTACTTGCTGCTTGGCCTGCTGTGTTCATCCAGCCCTGCACCTTGTTGTCTCGGATTCTCCAGCATCTGCAGTTCCTACTATCTCTCACTCATCAGAAAGTGTTTGTTTTAAGTGAACTGCAGAGAAAAATCCATTTTCTTCCTTCGTGAAGTGTGAATTTGTGTGATTGGCATCATTTCGAGGGATAAATATTAGACTTCCATGTTTCTGACCGAGTCTATGAACCAATTATTGTATTTTTCTTGGAAAGGTTTTGTTTTGATAGTAAACAATTGTGTTTATTAAAGAAACTTGGTTGATGGATCTTTTTAATTAAAACCTGACATAAATATGGTATTTAACTGGCTATCTCAACAACGAAGTTGTGACTCATGGTGTAGTGGTACTAGAGCGACAATGCATCCCTCCAGCTTTGGTTTTGACACCTGTGTGTCTAGATATGCAATGTATTAATCCTGGTGTCTTCTTGGTATTTCCCTTCTCTTGTTCTGAAATTCACCTGCTTAAAACAATATAACATGAAATTTAAAAACAAATAATTGAACTTCCTTTAAGAAAAAGAAGTAAATTCCTCCTTGCATTGGCCCTGGCTGAAAATTACAATGCAGCAATGAGCTAGTGCCTGATCCTCAATGTTATTGGATGAGCAAAGAATCAAGACACAGTCTTCTTCCACATTAAAATGATGAATGGTTACAAACCTAAAGTATTATGTTTCTCTCTGCACAGTTTATGCCTAACCTGCTTAGTCCAACTTTTTAAAAAATTTTATCTCTGATTTCAGTATCTGCATAATCTGCTTTTATATTAAAAAACTCTTTGTTTGTTTGTTTCACTAAATAGTTTAGGGACATGCATTGCATGCCTGTAGTACAGGCTAGGTGAACCATTATTTAAACACTGCCCTTTATTGCTTACATTGGCTCCCTGCCTTGCAGTGGGCTGAATTGAATTGAAAACCATCTTCCTCATCCATCAGTTCCTGAACACCTTCACTGATATTCAAAGTGCTGTGTAAATGCATTGTCATTGTAGTTTCTTGTCTCTTCTTGAAAAAAATACATCTAATTTTAAAGCTTCTTTAATTCTTTATAGACATGTTGGTGACCTGGGTAACGTTGAAGCCAATGATGATGGTGTTGCTAAGTTTGAAATGCATGATCGACTTCTTCGCTTGGCAGGAAATTATTCAATAATTGGACGCACTTTGGTGGTAAATATTGTATCCTGCAATCTCAATTGTTTTATAGCTATGCCGAACCAGTGGTTGTTGTAATGAAAATCAAAGCATAATATTTTGCACATTTGATTCTATGAATTTACTTTCATGCCATTATGCCTTCCTTTCATCGCATAGTCTAGGACAGTTATCCATCTCAGTAGTTGCTATCTGTCGTCACCTTTTTAGTTTGACTTCAACCTTGACCAGCCACACACTTTTTTTACCTGGTCCCCTGAGTGTGAAAACTTGCCTTACAATAGGGTCTAGGCCCGAAACGTCAGCCTCTCTGCTCCTATGATGCTGCTTGGCCTGCTGTGTTCATCCAGCCCTGCACCTTGTTGTCTCTGTTTACAATAGGGATGCTGTGCTAGCCAATCATCAGAATCAATTTGAAAGCTAAATATGGTTTTTGCACACTTTTGCTGAAAATGTATTTGCTCAGAGCCTTTTTACTCAGAATGAATAGCTTGGAATGCCAAACAAAGCTTGATATTTGTATTACATAACTAAATAGCTATTTAAAGATCAGATACAGTGTGTTTGGCTCACTTTTGTATCCTGTTCTTTCCTCCCTTGTATTTATTCAACTTCCCCTTAAACGGATCTGTAATGTTTTCTTCAACGATTCTTTATAGTAGTGAGTTCCATGTTTCAGCCAATCTGGATGAAAAGTAGAATTTCCTTAATTTCCTATTGAATTTATTAGTAAGTGTCTTGCGTTTATGGTTTCTTCTTTTGTTCTCACTCACAAGTGAAAACATCTTCTCTGTGCTTATTCTTAAAGATTACTCTTTTGTTTTCTTTTTGCTCGATTCCCAGCCATTTTTAGAGATAGGTGTAACCTGTCCATTCTGGTATCACTATAATAAACCATTCTGCCACTTCTTCAGTACCAAGAACTATTTTCAGAACTCCAAATTTGATCTAAGTAATGTTTTATTTTCTGCTATAAGTTTTATTCCTGTACAAATGAACCTTGATGCTTTATTTACTTTTCAGTGGCATTATGAACCGACGTTACTTCTTCCGTCTTTTAATCCCACCTCTTGTCATGTATTTGCTATCTCCTTTGACCTTTGATCTGACACTGAAAAACAATGGACTGTTTTATTCCAATATGTTCACACCACAGATTTGAGTGCAGCATGACTCTGAACTCTTCTATGGCTTTTGTTTCCATTCTCACTTGGCCAGCATTCTCTTTGTCCTCAATGAACCATTTGCCTGTCGCGAGTACTGTGTTGTGGATCCAACCAGGGATCAGGCTGTTTTGGATCTCATGATGTGTAGTGAAGCAGGTTTAATAAATGATGTAAAAGTAAAAAATCCCCAGGGAAACGGTGACGTAACATGGTTGATTTTAGCAATCAGTTTGAGGGGTAGGAACTTGGATCAGAAACAACTATGCCAAGATTAAATAAGAGTAATTACAAAGAAATGAGGTCAACAGCAGATGGTGACTTGTTAAATTCGAAACTGCCATTGAATGTGGACGGTAAATATAGATTATCTTCTGTTTGAGATGGCAGTTACTCATCATTTGTATGGCACAAGCATTATTCGCCACTTACAAACAATGGGTAACAGTCAAAGCTTGACTGTTGTCTCGGTCTTCTGCATGTAAACATGGATTGTTTTGGCATCTGAGGAATCATGAATGGTACTGAAGACTGTGCAATTAGAAATGAATGTTTACACTTCTGACCATGTGTTGGAAGAAAGCTCACTGATGAAGCAGCTGATGATGGTTGAACGTTAAACCCTGAGGAGATCCTGCAGCATGTCAGTTTGGATCCAAGCAAGTCATTATAACAAGTTATAAGATTGGATACGAATTTATTAACTATTCAGTCTTACTGATCCTTCCTTGCACATGTCCACTGTTCACTGTGAATTAATCAGTGAACAAAATCATATGCGAAACTACTTGCTTTTTTAACTGCTATTTTCTCTTTATTTGTATGTCTCCAAGTTTTAATTTAATCATTGAACAATCAATTTTTAATTCACTCATTGGACATGGACATTGCTGGCTGGTCAGCATTTTATCCCCCATCCCTAGTTGTCCTTGAGAAGGTGGTGGAGAACTGCTGCAGCCCATATGCTTCAGGTTGACCCACAATGCCTTTAGGGAGGGAATTCCAGCATTTGACCCAGCGATTTATATTTCCAAGTAAGGACAGTGAATGGCTTGGAGGGGATCTTGTAGATGGCAGCGTTGTTATGGATCAGACCATACTCCCTTCAAATATATCAAGGAGATAGCCTAGACCCTAACCTTTTCTTATTTAAAGGCAAGTGTACGGTGCTGTGTTCCTGATGTAACCCGATTGATTACGCTACTTAGCTTTAAGCCAAACACACTTTATTCTTACCCTAGAGTCAAAATACAAACAAAAGAAAGAAGAATTGGTCTAATTTTAACTCTATTGAAAAACTTAACAAATTGACAGATTATTTAACTACTAAACAGCAACTGTTCCACACACCCTTGGCAAAGGCAAATTCAGCGAAACATTGGCTCACATGCAGTTCTGGCAGCAGGAAGAGAACTCCCAGCTTTTAGTTGTAACAGAGAGAAGAATAACAGATTCCACAACCGGCTTCGAGAGCCCAGCAGTTGCTGTAAGCGAAACTAAAATCATGATTCTGTGGAAACCTGCCTCCATCCGTTCATGCTTAAACGCACCTCTTAAAGCTGTAGTATCATCAATGTTCCCATGTGTCTGTTACCCTTGTCCTTCTAGATAGAAGTGGTTGTGGGTTTGGGAGGTGCTGTCAAGGCATCTTTTGATGAATTTCTGCAGTGCATCTTGTAGATGGAACACACTGTTACTGACTATTGGTGATGGAAGGAATGGATGCTTGTGGTGTGGTGCCAATCAACAGGCTGCATTGTCCTAGATGGGGTCAAGCTTCTTAGGTTGAGAATTAATGAAAAGTAAACAATTTTTTTCCCACTGTGTATCTGATGTCCAAATTTTGTTCCTGATTGATTTTATTACATTTTTTCATATTGTAAATACGATATCTTTTTCTGTATTTTTGATTTACGACTAAAACGGGAAAAGAACATTTTTAAAAGCCAAGGAATGCTGCAGTTCTTTTTAAAGCAAGTAACTTGATACTTGTGAATGCTGTTCGAGCAGCAGGGAAGGTGTAGTTGCAGTTGAGCTGGAGCCAGCAGGTTATGTAAGAAAGGAACTGTGTTTAATAACAATTAACAGATTAGTCTGTGGACTAGTATCCTGTTCTTGATGACAGGCCTTCTGCCTGCCACTGGCTGCTCCCATTCCACTCTGGGCCGATGGCCGCCGTCCCTGCTGCACTCCAAGCTGCCGGCTGTCATCCCTACTACGGGCTGCTCGCTGCTGCCCCCACTCCGCTCCAGGCCGCTGGCCTTCCCCACTATGCTCTGGGGCTACTGATAGAAGAAGAAAAAGACAGAAGAGTGAAACAACATTCTACATAGTAAAATCAACATGGCATAGTTTATCAACAAAATTATTATGACACGTTCAGTCGTCAAGACACCCAAACAAAACTTGATTTTTTTTTCACCTTAATACCTCCTCATCGCAGATTGCCAGTAACCTCTTAGTGGAAACATCTTTTCTGTAAACCAGTATGACAACTGGTGACTTGCATGACCCACTTTATTTTGGAAGTCTCATCTTTCTGACATTTCCTTTATGCTAACAAGGTCATTCCTCAACCTTTGCTCAATGACACACTTTGTCGAATGAATAGTTTCCCACCGAGAACAGTTATCCAGGCAAACTTTTCTTATTTGCCCCATATAAGATTTCCTTTAGAATATTGTATAAACCCCTTGTAGTTACAGTTCCTTCTACAATCTGAGGAATTGTGAATACTCCTGAATATTGTGCAAACATCATTGTCACCTCTAAATTAATGGAGGGAAGGTCATTAAAACCACTGAAGATGGCTGGGCTTCACTCACTGCCTTGAGGACCTCTTGCAGTGATGTCCTCTAACTGCAATGATTCCCTTCCCACAAGCACAACCATCTTCCTTTGTGGTAGATTTGATTCCAACTAGCAGAGAGTTTTTCTAATTCCCATTGCCTCCAGTAATCTTTGCTACAGTTTCTTAAGCCTCGCTCAGTAGAATAGTGAGTGTCAAAGGCACTCGCTTTCCGTTCCATTGTTAGTTCAGCTCTCTTGTCCATGTTTGGACCAATACTGTGATGAGATTAGGAGCTGAGTGGGCCTGGTTGGAGAACCCAAACTGGGTGAATCAGCAGAATATTGTTAAGTAAGTGCTATCAGTGACAAACTGCAGCATTTTTTTGATTGAGAGAGTAAACTGATGGGGCAGTAATTGGCTGTGTCAGATTTCCGTTTTGTGGGTAGGGCATACATGGTCAATTTTTGACATGAATGGGTAGAGACCAGCATTTTAACTGTGTACGAAACCAGTTCAGTCAAGGAGGTGGCTAGCTTTAGTTGTCACTCTTGTATTTTTGCTGAAAAGTTGTTTGGGCTCAGTGCATTTGCAATATTCAGCATCTTCAGTCCTTTCATGATATCAAATGGAGTCAATCAGATTGGTTGAAGATTGGCATCTGTGATGCTTGGAACCTCAGCAGCAGACCAAGAAGGATCATTTACTCAGTACTTCTGGCTGAAGCTGGCCCATTTGGGACCTGTGGCAGTGCAGTCATTCTCCTGGCATTTGGGGCTGGTGGCAGCAGCAGCAAAGCTCCTCCAGTGATCGGGGTCAGTGGCTCTGGTGGCAATGAACCCTGCAAGATGGCAGCACCAGCAAGGCAACATGTGCAGCTGAAAGAGGACTTGAGGCTGGGCGACAGCCTGGCCTGGCAGCGGAACCCGGGACTCTTGGTTTGGGGGAGTGGTGAGTGTGGGTTCAGTGGTGTCAGCAAAGTGGGCCCAGCAGCGAAGGCATGACACTTAAAGTAGGGCGAATCCTATGTTAGTGAGTACGAGGCAGGGGGCAGCGAGGCAGTGGAGGTCCCCCTTTGGAGTAGATGTCGGCATGGACTGGGTCAGTAAGACTGGTATTCTGAAATTTTTATTTCTTTATTTTTCTGATTTACTCCTATGATCCATTATGCTGGACTGTTTATTTCTTTACCTTCCTAACTTTCTTTTTTGTTTCCTAAGAATTTGATCGAAGTTTCTGTGCCTAGATAATTTTGTACCTAAGGTGGCACTGTAATGTGGCAACTGGTAACTTTTCACTGTACTCATTTGAGTACGTGTAACAATAAAGCTAATTCAATTCAATTTATTCAGATAGTTGCACATGCTTCTGCCTTATTGCTTGTAAAACCGTCTCAGCAGCCATAAGGAAATCTGGAGAGTCAGTTAAGTAAGAAATTAAAGACTTGAGAAAGGAATGATATTTCTTTGGGATTCGACTACCTGAGAAATAGGTTGAAACTTTGTCTTTCTGTTTATGCTAAGATCTTTCTAAATGAGTGTGTTTGTGCATGAATATATGAATTCTGTATACTAGTTTTCTCTTTTGTGTAATAAACTTGTGTTCCTTTATTAAAGAATATTAGCACACTCCTGTTAAAATTATTGAACTCTATATTGAGTCTGGAGGGCTGTAGGGTCCCCAAGTGGAAAATGAGGTGTTTTTTTCTAGCTTGCTTTGAGCTTCACTGGCAGCAAGCCAGAGACAGACATGTTGGTCAAGGAACAGGGTGGTGAGTTAAAGTGGCAGGCAACGGGTAGTTCATGGCTTTTTTGCGAGCAGAACGTAGATGTTCTGCAAAGTGGTTACCTAGTCAACACTTCATTTCCCCGATGTAGAGAAGACCACATTGTGAGCAGTGAATGCAGTAGGCTAGATTCTGGGAAGTGCAGGTGAAGTGTTGCTTCACCTGGAAGGTATGTTTGGGTCCTCGGATACTGAGGAGGGAGGAGGTAAATGAGAACGTGTTGCACCTTTGCTGGTTAGAGGGAAAGATGCTGTAGGGCTGTGGGGTTGGTGTGAACGAAGTGTGGACCAGGGTGTCCCGGAGGGAATGGTTCCTGTGGAAGGCAGATAAGGGAGTGGTGGCATTTTGCTGGAGGTGGCAGAATTAGCACCTAATTACTTCTGGATATGGATGCTGGTGGGATGATAGATAAGACAAGGGAACCCTATCGCTGTTGCGGGTGGGAAGAGAAGGGGCGAGGGCAGAAGTGCGGGAGATGGGTCGGATCCGGTTAAGGGCCCTGTCGACCACGGAGCTGGGAAAAACTCGGTTGAGGAAGAAAGTGGACATTTCGGAGGCTCACTTATCGAAGTTGGCCTCATCTGAACATATATGACGGAGAGAATGGGATGGAGTCTTTACAGAAAGTGGGGTGTGAGGATGTATAGTCCAGGTAGCTGTGGGAGTCAGTGGATTTGTAGTGGATATTAGTGGCCAGTCTGTCCCCAGAAATGGAAACAGAAATGTCGAGGAAGGGAAGGGAGGAGTCAGAGATAGACCAGGTGAAAGTGAGGGAAGGGTGGAAATTGGAGGCGAAATTGATGAAGTTTTCCAATGCCGGATGAGAGAGGGAAGCAGCACCGATGATATCATCGATGTATCGGAGAAAGAGTTATGGGTGGGGGCCGGAATAGGACTGGAACAAGGAATGTTCCACATACCCCACGACGAGGCAGGCATAACTAGGGCCCATGCGGGTAACCATGGCCACCCCTCTTACCTGAAGAAAATGGGAGGAGTTAAAAGAGAAGTTGTTGAGGATGAGGACGAGCTCGGCCAAGCGGAGGAGGGTGGTGGTGGGTGGGGATGGTTCAGATCTTTGCTCCAGGAAGAAGCGGAGAGCCCTACGACCCTTCTGGTGGGGAATGGACGTGTAAAGGGATTGCACGTCCATGGTAAAGAGGAGGCGGCTGGAACCGGCAAACTGGAAGTTTTGAAACCGGCGTCAGGCATCAGAGGAATCATGGATGTACGTGGGCAGGGAAATGGACCAGTGGATAGAAGATTGAGTCAAGGTAGGAAGAGATGAGTTCTGTGGGGCAGGAGCAGGCTGAAACAGTGGGTCTGCCCAGACAGTCCTGTTTGTGGATTTTTGGGAGGAGTTCCAGCGAAGCTCAACAGAAAAACAACACCTCATTTTCTGCTTGGGGAGCCAACAGCCCTCCGGACTCAATATCGAGTTCAATAATTTTAACGCCTAAAATCTCCCATGTCCCAGCCCCCTACCTCACACAGCAGACCTTGTTACCACATAGCCTGCCATTACACACTACTTATTATTAGTCACTATATAGTCCCCATTAACATCTATTCACCCTCCCAGCCATCGTTATCAACTCTTTGTCTATCCAACTGCTCTTCTCTCTCTTTGGGCTCTATCCTATCGTTTACTCCCTACCCCATCCCCCTCCCCTATTTTCTGCATATAAACTGACATTTTCCCAGCCACCATCAGTTCTGAGGAAGGGTCACCAGACCCGAAACGCTAACTCTGTTTTTTCCCTTCACAGATGCTGCCAGACCTGCTACCTTTTCCAGCAACTTTGTTTTTGTTCCTGATATACAGCATCAACAGTTCTTTTGGTTTTTATTAAAGTCTTGTTGATGATCTAAAAATATTTTTGAATACTGTGTTCATTTTCATTGGAGCAACTGCATGTGAAACATTGCTATTTGGATATTGAGTTATTAACTTTTTCTTTCTCAAAGGTTACAGAGAATGAAGATGACCTGGGTAAAGGTGAAAATGATGAAAGTGCTGCAACAGGAAATGCTGGAAAAGGTTTAGCCTGGGGTATAATTGGAATAGCTAACAAATAAAAGAAACAGTAGCACAAAAATGAAATTAGGAATAACCTGTAGTGTGCTGAATAATAAAACAAAGTAGGCTTCAGTATAAGTGAGAGTTTTACACAGTATTTGAAAATGCCCTTTATGAAGATCCCGTTACATTATGTATCTTTGTTCTTTGCAGTAAAATTTTATGTCACTCTGATAACTTTTAGTATTTGACTATTTCAATCAAAAGTCAAATTTGGATATTAATATTCAGTCAGTTTTGATATTTATCATTTCTGCTTTACTTATGTGAGCTTCAAATAGTTGTCAATTCTGGTCAGATGTGAAAAACAATGTTTGTAATTTTCTTGAGTTTTAACTTACAGGGTTCAATAAAACTTAAACAATCTATGTTCTTGACACATTAAATTTGTTGTAAAAATGGTCAAGCCTGAAATTGCTCAACTCAGTGCAATACTGTAATAATTTCTGATGGCGTTTGTGGCTGTTCAAGAATTATTAAAATAAAAAGGAAAAATCTAAAGCTAAGGACAAACTATAAAACTTGCATTTTAATTACGGATTCAGAAAACAAAAGCCAGAGGCAGATTTTCATTCCAAGTAGGCTTAATGTAGCTATCCCACAGAATGTGCCATCTTGTCATCCTAATATGACACCAATACATTTGGGTTTGTGAGTTACAGCCAGTGTTTAAGCACTAAGTCACCCAACTGGGAATGGGAATTGGGGGAACCTTTGCTGATTGGAATCATATCTGCTGTACAATAAGTTTGTTGTTGGAGCTCATTTTAGCTGTCGGACATGTCTGCTGGAGGTCTTCAGAGTAGTTATTTTCCTAATCAATCTGTTCTGAGATGTTATGACACATCTCTGGAACAGGTGGGATTTGAATCTGAGCCTCCTGGCTCAGAGCTAGGGACAATACCACTGCACCAGAAGAGCCCTAGTTCCTCAGGCGAGTGTCCTAAACCCAACCATCTTCAGCTGCTTCATCAATCACTTTCCATCCAGAGTAAGGTCAGAAGTGGGGATGTTTGTCGATGATTGCACAATGTTCACACCATTTGAAACTCCTCAGTTACTAAAGCAGTTCATGTTCAACTGCAGCAGTATCTGGCTTATGCTGAAAAATAGGAAGAAACCTTCATACCACACAGTGCCAGATAATGACCACCTGCGGTAAGAGACAATCTGACCATCACCCCTTGACATTCATTGTTAACGTCACTGAAACCACTGAATGACAGTGGTTGTAAGAGCAGGTGAGGGGCTAGGAACCCTGCAGCAAGTAAGTCATGTCCTGACTTTCCAAAGCCTGTACACCATCTACAAGGCAAAAGTCAGGCCTCTGATGGAGTACTCCCCACTGGCCTCCAACAACATGGAAGAAGCTTGACACCATCCAGGACATAGCGGCATGCTTGATTGGCACTACGTCCACAAATATCCACCACTGACGCTCAGTCACAGAAAGTATGTACAATCCACAAGCTACCCTGCAGAGATTTGCCAAAGATCCTTGTCAGCACCTATCAAACCCACAACCACTTCCATCTCGAAGGACAAGGGCTGCAGATTCATGGCAACATTACCACTTTTAAGTTCCTGTTTGGAACATTTAGTGAAGGGTCTAAAAATTGAACTTGATACATGGCACACTTTAATTCATTCTTAAACAAAGTGGCTGAGGAATCTTGGTAACAGTTTTCTGAAGTACTATCGGAAGCAAGACTTTTGAGAGTCTGAGGAGTCTGGTACAACCAGAGAAACCAAATGAGAAGACATTTCAAGAGCTATGATGATGGCTTAATAGTTCAGTTTTTACAAGTGGGTGCAGCATGAAGGAAAGTCCACCATCCTATTCGAGTCCACCTTAACGAGATTTGCAGAACATTGCCTTGTGGAACTGTTTGGTTGGCGGCATCCACATGAGGCCATCCAAAGGAAGCTATTAATAAGGAGACACCTGGATATCATGCAGATTTCTAAATTGCTACTTCAATGGAATTGCTCACCAGCAAATCAACCAAGTTGTTTGATGATGCCTGGGTGCATCAAGTAGTGGAAACTCGGCAGGTTGCAGTACCAACTGTAAAGTGCCACCTTTTTGGCAAGAGTGGCCCCAAGGAATCAGCATGTTGGGCTCAAGAAGCCCAGTGCTGCAAGTGTAAGCAAGTGTGTCATATTGCCCAAAATTGCCAGGTACAACTCAACCAAGAGAAGAGGTGCCTGAAGGAGATGCATCATAGGGCAAGGCGTAAGGCACATACCATCAGTGAGGGAATCAGCTAGGTCTGTGGGTGAAGCCAAAGACCCAGAGTCACTGGAGTTCTGGTTAAACATACTCTCGATACAGGGTGAAGCTGATTTTTTTTCTGGTTTCTCCCCAAAGTAGACGGGAAGACTGCAAAAATGGAAGTGGATAGGGGTGCAGTGGTGTCCCTGATTGCTGAATCAGTATACAGGGAGAAGGGCACTACCATTGAAGCTGGCAAAGATTACAATACAGATGTACATGGAACAAGTGGTGCTACTGTAGGGCTGTGCACTGGTGAAAGGGATCAGTGTGAGGCATTGCCACTTTAAACTGTAAAGGTGAATATCAGCATTATTTGGATGGTCCTGGTTACAAAATTAAAGTTGAACTGGGGCATGGTTAATACATTGGCAAAGTCAAACATGAGTTTGCAGAAGATCCTGGACAAGTACTGAGATGTCTCCAAAGGAACCCTGAGGGAAATGAAGGGTTTCAAAACTAAATTACAGTTGAAGCTGGAGGCATGTCCTAGGAGTCCTTATGGGTAAAGAATATAAAGACAGGGAAAACAAAGATTCTGAAGATCAGAAGTCCTGATCACCAGGTTAAGTTGCTTCTTTACAGTTCCTTTGATTTTTAGCAATGATGACATGCTCTTTTTGTCTTTTTACAAGAATAGAAGAGAGATATTTTCAGTTTGCCAGCTCTGGAGGGCTCTGGCTGTGCTGCATTTACAGCTTTGTAGCAAACTCCTGATGAACTAACCCGAGCACTGTCATCAGGCAATTTTTAAAATTTCTTGAACCATTCAGTTTTAACAATGGATTGATCTCACTGCTCCAAAAGCAAAATTGTATTTTGCAGTGAAAAATTGTAAAACTCTCCTGCCAGTTCAACTACATGGCAGTCTGACATCCATTCCAGTTTATAGGGTAAAGACCATATCTTTTTATTTTTCTGTAATTTTGAGTGTGTACTGAAATGGGAAAAGGACTTCAAGGAATGTGGAAAGTGTTGCTGCAATTTTTTTAAAAGCGAGTTACATGACACTCATTGTAGTGTTTACACTTGCTCAGTTAGGGAATGGAAGGATGTCCAGTTGCGGATGAGCTGTAGTCAAGGGGTGTGTACAAATTGGTATTTGGCTGACATCAAATTGCTGATTTGTCTGGGGAATGGTGACTGATTGTCGACGACAAAGGCCTCCCACCTGCCAACATCTGCAGATGAACAACATGGGAGTGTGAATGTTTGGCAGACGTCATCAACCTTCAGCAGGGAAAGAGCCATTAAGTTCCCTGCAGTTAAAAACACCTCAACCTGAAGAAAGCTGCTGTATTTCCATTATCAGTTATAAGATATGGTTTTAACCAGTATGTCAGAGACATATTGGTTAAGTGTGAACCAGTCACTCAGTGCCTCCTGCAAGGAAGTCAGTGTATCTGGAGAAAGATCGGAGCAACAGAGATCTTCATAATCCTAAAGGTTCATCTCAGCGAACCCTGTGAACACGCACCATTGAATTACTTTCCAGTCATTCCTGCTGTTTTTGTGACTCTATGGGTGTAGGGCGAGTTCTAACTATGGATGTTCTCCATAATAAATAGTAATACTTGTTAAGTACAGGCACCTGGTTAGTGCTTTGTCAACTAGGGTCTAAAAGACAGGCAAATTGGGGAATTTTTCACACTTCTGGAAACATTGTTATTTTCACCCCTCAGGAATACTGGAGCTTGATTTCCAGCATACTACTTCAGGGAGGCATAACATTAGTCCACTAAGGAAGATTATGTGATTCCTTTCGGTATCATACAGTTGTCTCTGATCCTACATCTGCGTAAAAATACGCCAAATAGTTTCTAATGTCTGTCCTCATTTTCCACTAAAAATTATCACCTCACAATTTAAGCAATAAGTTTTTCTATTTCTCCAGTCTATTGCCTCTGTTACTGTTTAGCCCATTATTTTTATATATCTAGGAATTTTGTATCAACACCAAACTTTGGAATTATACTTTTTATGCCCAAGTCCAGGTCATTAATATATTTATAAGAGCAGTGGTCCCAAAACAGCCTTGCGTGACACCACTACATACTCCCTTCTAGTATCAAAAACTACTCACAACAACTCTGCCTCTTAGCCAATTTTGCGTCCAAACAACTCATTAATCTTAAGGATTTTAACTGCTCATCAGTCAATAATGCTGTACTTTATTAAATGCCTACAGTCTAGTCCTATGATGTCACTTAGCACATACTCCAGCTACCCCAAGAAATCAACTCGCTGTTCTTTATGTCAATAATATGATTGATCCAGATCTGGGGAAGGTGGTGCTGGTGCACAGACAGAGTTGCGAGTGAAAAGATTATGGGAGCGTGATCCAAGCCTACAGAGCTATCATGGGGGCTAATTAGGTAAGTTGGGGGAACGACTCAGTGGAAATGGTGTCAAGCAAACTAAGTTAGGTACTGTATCACAGCAAGGTGAGTTGAATGCAGCAAGGGTAAGGAGAGACAGTATAAAATAATTGATGCAATTCTAAAGAGAGTGCAGGAGCAGAGGGACTTGGGAATCTATATCACATATAGATGGGGTGGAGTACATTGAAACAACAGTGAATAAAGCTTATAAGATCCTGGGTTTCATAATTAGAGGCCATAGGTTACAAAAGCAAATAAGTTATGGTAAAGCTGTATAAAACACTGAACCTCACCTGAAGTTTTTACAAAGATTGTGAAAACAATCAAGAGAATGCAGGAAAGATTCACAGTAATTCTAGTGATCAAAACTTCAGTTACATGAATAGGTTGGGGGAAAACGATGAGAGAAGTAGTAAATGAATATTTCACAACAGTTTTTACTGTGGAGAAAGAAACGGAGGCTAGGGAACTCGGGGAGAAAAATATTGATGTCTTGAGAACAGTCCACATTACAGAACAGGAAGTGCTGGAAGCCTGGGAACTATAGATTGGTGAATCTGACATTAGTCATGGGTAAGTTATTAGAGGGGATTCTGAGAGGTAGGATTTACGTGTGTTTTCAGAGGTAAGGACTGATTAGGCATAGTCACCATGGCTTAGCGCATGGGGAATTATGTCTCACAAACTTGATTGAGTGTTTTTGTGGATGTAACCAAAAGGGTTGATGAGGTCAGAGCGGTAAAGATTGTCTACATGGACTTTAGTAAAGCCTTTGACAAGGTTCTGCATTGTAGACTAATTAGTAAAATTAGATCACATGAAGTTCAGGAGAGCTTGACAATTGGATACAAAATTGGCTTGATAGTAGTGGACAAGGGGTGGTGGTGGAGGGTTGCTTTTCAGACTGGAGGTCAGTGACCAGTTGTGTTCTGCAACGATTGCTGCTGGATCCACTTTTGTTTGTTATTTATATAAACAATTTTGATGGAAATTTAAGAGGCATGGTTAGTAAGTTTGCGGATGACACCAAAATTGATGGTATAGTCTCCGGTGAAGAAGGTTACTTAAGCTTACAAAGGGATCTTGATCAGTTGGGCCAATGGGCTGAGGAGTGGCAGATGGAGTTTCATTTGGATAAATGCAAACTATTGCATTTTGGTAAAACAAACGAGGGCAGGACTTATACAATGAATGTTAGGAGCCTGGGTAATGTTGTTGAACAGAGACCTAAGGGTTCAGGTATGTAGTTCTTTGACAGTTGCAGTGCAGGTAGACAGGGTGGTTAAGTAGGCATTTTGCATGCTTGCCTTCATTGCTCAGACCATTAATTTAGAAATTGGAATGTAATATTGAGGTTGTAGAGGATGTTGGTGAGGCCACTTTTGGAGTATTGTAAACAGCACTGGTCACTGCTGTAGGAAGGATATTAAATTGGAGTGGTTTCAGAAAAGATCTAACCAGGAAAGTTGACTGGACTGAAGGGTTTGAGTTATGTAGATAGGCTGGGATTTTTTTCACTGGAACATAGGAGGTTGAAGGATGACCTGACAAAGGTTTAAAAAAACCATGAGGGGCTTATCTATATGGTGAATCATGGAATTCCTACAGTGTTGAAGCAGGCCATTCAGCCCACTGAGTCATAAAATGAATAACAAAGGTCTTTCCCCTAGTTTCAAAACTAGATGGCATTTTTCAAGGTGAGAGGAGTAAGATTTAAAAGTGACCTGAGGGGCAACTTTCTCACACAGAGAGTGGTTTGAATGTGGAATGATCTGCCAGAGGGAGTGGTAGATGTAGGTACACATAACATTTAAAGGACATTTGAATAGGCACATGAGTAGAAACGGTTTGGAGAGATATGGGCCAAGCACAGGCAAGTGGGACTAGTTTAGTTTATGAAACTTGGTCAGCAATGACTAGCTGGACCCAAGGGCCTGTTTCCATTCTGTATGACTGTGACTTTAATTGGGACTACTATCTTCTAAAAATTAAATTAAGAGGAAATTGAGTAGATATGTTCCAAATCATATGGTGTGTGGATAGAGGGAGAAACTGTTTTGTTGTCGGACCTACTTACAGTGATTGGCAAAAGAGAAAAAGCTTTCACGTAAATAATGGTTTGAAATGTACAGCCTGAGAATGTGGCAGAGGCAAATGCAATTTCAGGAGAAAATTGGACATTTGGAGGAAAAAGAAATCGCAGGGTTACAGGACGAAAAGAGTCGGTCTTGCAGGGAGCTAGCATGGGTCTGGTAGGTGGAGTAGCCTCATTCCGTGCTCTAAGAATTGTTGAATCATAGAGTTGTACAGCATGGAAACAGACCCTTCAGTTCAACTCATCCATGCTGAGCAGATATCCTAAATTAATCTAGTCCCATTTGCCAGCATTTGGCCTATATTCCTCTAAACCCTTCCTATTCGTATACTCATCCAGATGCCTTTTAAATGTTGTAATTGTATTAGCCTCCACCACTTCGTCTGGCAACTCAATTCCATCCACACACCGCCCTCTGCATGAAGAAGTTGCCCTTTAGGTCCCTTCTAAGTCGTTCCCCTCACCTTAAACCTCTGCCCTCTAGTTTTGGACTCCCCCACCCCGTAGGAAAAGACCTTGGCAATTCACTCTGTCCGTGCCCCTCATGATTTTATAAATCTCTATAAGGTCAGCTGTTAGCCTCTGATGCTCCAGAGAAAATAGCCCCAGTCTATTCAGCCACTCTGTATAGCTCAAACCCACCGACCCTGGCAATGTCCTTGTAAATCTTGATTGAACCCTTTCACGTTTCACAACATTCTTCTTATAGTTGGCAGACCAGAACTGCATACAGTATTTCAAAAGTGGCTTAACCAATATCATGTACAACCGCAGCATGACCTCCCAACTCCTATAGTCAATGCACTGACCAATAAAGGCAAGCATACCAGACACCTTCTTCATTATCCCATCTACTCGGAACTCCATTTTCAAGGAACTATGAACTTGCACTCCAAGGTCTCTTTGTTCAGAAACATACCCCAGGACCTTACCATTAAGTGTGTAAGTCCTGCCCTGCTTTGCCTCTGTAAAGTGCAGCACCTCACATTTATTTAAATTGACCGATCTGATCAAGATCCCATTGTACTCTGAAGTAACCTTCTTCAATGTCCACTGCACCTCCAATTTTAGTGTCACCTGCAAACTTACTAACCATACCTCCAATGTTCACATCCGTATCATTTGTACAAATGAAAACATGGACCCAGCATCGATCCTGGTGGTACACTGCTGGTCACAGATTTCCAGTCTGAAAAGCAAACCTCCACCACCACCCTCTGTCTTCTACCTTCGAACCAGTTCTATATCCAAATGGCTAGTTCTCCTTCTACTCCATGAGATCTAACCTTTTTAACCTGTTTGCCAATATGAACCTTGTTGAATGCCTTACTGAAGTCCATATAGATCAGGTCCACTGCTCTGCCCTCATCAATCCTCTTCATTACTTCAAAAAAATTCAATCACAATTTCCCACGCAGAAAGCCATGTTAATTATTCCTCATCTGTCCTTGCCTTTCCGAATACACGTGGTTCCCCCCAACAACTTGCCAACACCAATGTCAGGCCCCCTGAATAGTTCCCTGAATTCTGTGACGTTATCGCAGTTTCTTGTTCTAATTTGAAGTTTTCGGTTATTTATTCGTTCCAAAATATAGGATTACTGTTGCCTACAGAGCTCTATTTTTTGAATGTTGATCAGACATCAGTAATTACCAGCCCAATGTGGAAACTTGTCGATTTTATCCATCAAAGGGCGCCTGCGTGGAGGGGGAGGAAGGCTGCAATGCGGTTGCGCAGTTTGTTGGTTGCGTGTCCGACCGTTGTACCGGGAGTTGAAATCGGGACATTATGGAGATTAGGAAGGCCATTTGTGTCCTGAAGGGTCCCGGTTCTGCTACTGGCACAATTTGTTTCAAAACAGAGGTGAGTGATATTTATTTCATACCTGAACCAGTTATACCTTCAGCTTTCGAGGGGCCCGGTGACGGTTGGATGGGGAGGCACGTGCTAAGCTTTTGAACGAAGCGCCTGTTGATGGCTGAACAAATGGTAATTCCTGATAAATAAATCCGTGTGTTGCTTTTTCATTAAAATATCATTCATTTCCGCCACCCACACCGCCTTCCCTCCCCTCCACCTTGGTGGCGTTAACCGTGCTGAAAACTACTGTGAGCAAGCAGCTGAGAATTGCACGAGTTGCTACTTTCGGTTGACGTTGGGGAACTTGGCAGTTACTGAATGTGGAGGCACCAGATCCATATCATCTTCCCGGTCCGAAATAAGTCTCTTTCCTCCAGCCGGTGTTCGGCAGCTGATAGAAGCCATTTAAATGTCGTGGTGCACCTTGAGTTGGCGGCTTCGGGGTGTTTGTGAATAGGGTGCGTGTGAAGAAGAAAAAATGACAGGGGGAGGGAGTACATTGGTTTATAGAGTGTGTTTTGTGTGTGACTGGCTATTATGCTTTGGCAAGAGTGAGTGTGCATGAACGTCTGGCGTGAGTGAGTGAGTGAGTATGTTTGCGAGAGTTTGGCTTGACAGTGAAAATATGTATTACATGCCTGTGTTTGCTTATTTGGACTATGTATGTGTGGTTCTGCATAGTGTATGTCTTTAGCGTGTTTCCGTGTGTAACTATACATCTGGAGTTTACTTCTGCGGTGTGTTGGTGCATCTATTTGAAGTTTCTATTTGGCGTACGTGTCTGTTTTTGAGTGTACGTCTATCTTCTGCATTCTGCAGGAGCGGCAATCACACATTTCGTTGTTCCGATTCATCTTTTTTCCCTACTGCATCCAAATCTGGGCACAGAAATATGGAGCCTATCTGATATTAGAGTCCGTCTTGATAGCGCAAGATCTCCAAGTTATGCCGTTCACTGTTATTGCCATATTCTGGTAAATGTTTATTCAGTGAAAAGGTTTAGGAGATTTAAATAGCTATTCAATGTGTGTGAGATGAGTGGCAGCTTCATCAGGATGCCAAGAGGTTAGGATGGTTGGTAGGGAAAGTGGCAATTGGGTACAGTAGCTGCGTGGTAGATGTGTAGGGTGGGACTTGGTGGTGAGGTTGGATGATTATGAGAGTGGGTTGGCAGGGAGTTAGAGGTTCAAGTGGAGTCAGAATCAAGGGGGAATTGGGGTATTAATGGATTAAGATGAAGTTAGGGTTGTTGAGGATAGTCAAAGGTTTGGGAGTGAAATTGACTGGTTGTGCTGCTGAACTTAAATCATTGAACTGTTAATATTCAAAAGGGGGGGCTTGGTGTCTCGAAATGAAAACAGAAATTGCTGGGAAAGCTCATCATGTCTGGCAGCATCTGGCCAGTCCCCGTTAATAGCTGTTCACCCTCAGAGACAGATTATTGTCCACTCCTTTGCCTGTCCGACTGCTCTTCTCTATCTTTTGGGCTCTATCCCCATCTATCGTTTACTCCTTTACCCCTATCCCTCCACTCGGGTTCTGCATATAAACTGACATTTTTCTAGCTACCATCAGTTCTGAGAAACGTCACTGGATCCGAAACATTAACTCTGATTTCTTTCCATAGATGCTGCCTGACTTGTTGAGCTTTTCCAGCGATTTCTGTTTTCGTTTCTGATTTACAGCATCCACAGTTCTTTGGGGTTTTATGGTTTCTATAAAGATCATCTTCACCGTTGGATTCGTGATAGAATGCCTCTGTCAAGGAATCTCCACCACAGAAAACATATAATAAAGGTGTGTGGCTTGGATTCAGGTTTGAAAATAGCCTGTCCTACCTGGGCCTCTGTTTCAGGTGTGTGTTCTTCCTCAAAACTTGTACTTTGCTGAAACAGGTACGTTTGAAATGTTGTCTGCTTTATGTCCCTACCAGTGTTCCTATATAAATGTTGTTTACACTTGCCATGTGTTTCCAATTATTAACTTAGTGTTGCAACATTTGCCTTTTTTAATACTTGTTATTTCTGGAGCTGGAATGAATGAATTAGCTTTGTTGTCACTTGCACTCGAATGAGTGCAGTGCAGAGTTGGCAATGTCACTGCTTATGGCGCCATCCGAGGTACAAGTTACCTGGGTATGGATACTTAAGTATTTGGCACAAAATTGAAAGAATAATAAAGTCCATAAGAATAAAGACGGAAAAAAGGTACTCTATTTACAAATCTTTCACTCCAGTCTGTTGCAGCACCTAGCCTCCAGACCACACCGGGCTTCAAAATTCGAGGCCTCGCCTCCCTGCAACAGCTTCCAGTCTAGGACTTGCCTCCGGGCTAATGACTTACATATATTTATCTTGTAGGAAGGTGCACATTCGACTTGTATAACCGGAGAAATTACTGGATTGACTCCTGGAAAACATGGATTTCATGTGCACACATATGGTGACATATCTAAAGGTATGGATGGTTACTTGTCATTTTGATATTTAAAGGAACATGGGAAAATCTGTTAGACTCAAATCATTGGGAAATAATTTGTAAAATGTACAGCTCAGAAGAAAAAAGAATATCATAAATTCTTATCCTCTGCGGATTGTTGGCTGAACTGGATAACTCCTCATTAGCTTCGCCACAATAATTAAAGTTCAATTTCAGTTAGGCATCTCCCTGAACTTAATGGCAATCCACGAAATTCATAAATTTCACTGCAGCAGTTATTTAGTATTGATAAGTAATGATTGCCCTTCCATGATTTCAAACTTTGGAGGCCAGGAATGAGATGGATGAAGCTCTTGTAAGACCTAGAGTGTTCAATTTAACTTTAATTGTAATTGACTTGGGTCTTACAATTATAGACTAGGTTGGGAGAATTGACCTAAAAGAATCTGAATCACAGAACTGCTCAAGTGTCATTATGCCTTCAAAAATATGTCGGATTTTAAGTTTATTACAATAAGCACAAAAGAGGGATGTTTAATTGAGGTGGTGGTATCAAACAGTCCACTTTAAGATATTAGCTCTCAATTTCTGGTTAATTGGGCACTTGTCTTTTGCTGTGTTCTGTTGATTTGAAGTCAATTTTCTTCGTTCTTGTGTGTTTGGCTGCTAAAAGTAACTGTTTATTAACCCTTGCTAGACAATAACTCTGGCCAAGGTGGCACCCTGAGCTCTGACTTGCCAACCCACAAACAGTATATGATCTGCCTTGAATTGCCAAGATGGTGTGTGGCCAATTTGATTTTTGTTTTAAAAGTCATGGTCATCTTACTACTATCACTTCTTATTATCTCCTGATTGGTTCCCTAGGATGTCCGCCACCTTGAGAGGCCAGTCCTGTCTTTCATAGGGGCTTTCTTTGTTCTCCATAGAGTTTGGAGTCTTGTGCTTTCCAGGAATTATCTTTAGATAATAACACATGATCAGGGATCAAGCCTAATCAAATGTGCTGAAGAGGCCAAGCACAGCATAGTGAACTGTTTGCAGGCTTCAGACCAAAATAGTGAATATTATTATGTTGTGTTATGTGCTTCAAAATAAAGTCACTGTTTCTTTTTAACACACTTTAAGTTAAAGGTCTTTGCCAATCTAGGATATAAAGCTAGCTTGAAACCAAAAACTTATCTGAATCAATAAGAAAACTCATTTCTATTATGACCTATCTTTATTTATTCACAGATTGTGGGGATTGATGGTCAGAGCAGCATTTATTGTCTGTCCCTAATTGCCCTGGAGAAGGTACAGGTGAGGTGCCTTGTTAAACCTTGCTCTGTACAGACACCACAATGATGTTAGGGAAATGAAGGATTTTGACCCAGAAACAAGGAAGGAATGGTAATATGGTTCCAAGCCAGGATATCGTGTGTTTTGGCGGGAACTTGGAGGTGGTGGTGTTCCTGTCCATCTGCTCTCCTTGTCGTTCTAGGTGGCAGAGTTCAAGATTGGAATGTTACATTGAAAGAGTCTTGGGAGGTTCTTGCAGTAAATCTTGTAAATGGTACACACTTCTGCCCACTGTATCGATGGTAAAGGGCGTGAATGTTGATGGATGAGGTTCCAGTCAAATGGCTTCCATCAGTTTGATGATCAAGAGTATACTGATAGGATGGAAATTTTGGCCAGGTTGGATTTGTCCTGCTTTTTGTTGACTGGGCATGTCTGTATAAATGTTTCATATTGCTGGGTAGATGCCAGTGTTGCATGGCTGGTTCTGGAGCACAAGTCCTCAGGCCTGTTGTTGGAATGTTTTGTTGACTCTTGGTCATTTCTTGTCACATGAAGTGAATCAAACTGGATGAAGACTGCTGGGTGCTTGAGGAGAAAGAGTTGGAATATTAATTCTTCACTTATGGCTGAAAATGGATGTAAACACTTCAGCCTGGTCCTGGATTTCCACATAATTGAAGTGGAGATTTTTGTGGAGCTCTTCATTGTGTTAATTGTCCACCATCATTCATGACAAGCTGTGGCAGGACTGCAGAGCTTACAGGTGATTCATTAGTTGTGGATAGCTTAAACTGTCTGTTGCATGCAACTTCTCTTGTTCGGCATGCAAGTAGTTCTACGTTGTAGCTTCACCCAGGTTGACACCTCATTTTTAGGTATGCCAGATGTTCCACCAACAGCTACATCTCTCTCTCTCCCATCATCTCTGTTTGCGCTGAGCTACTTTCTTTTATTCATTCATGAGTTTTGAGCATTTATCTCAACATCCTTAAATATCAGAGTATGGCATCTTGAACAACTACGGTCCATGTAGTTTGGACACATCCAAAATCCTGTTGGGAAGAGAGTTCCAGGATCTTAATCCAAAACATTGAGGGAACAGCGACATAGTTCCAAGTCAGGATGATGTGTGACTTGGAATGAAACTTGTGTTGCTATGCATCTATTGCCCTTGATCTTATACTTGGTAGGGGTTGTAGATTTGAAAAGTGGAATTGGAGGAGGCTTGGTGCATTGTTTTATATGCGATATACTCTGCCATTGTGAGTTGGTAGAGGAGGAAGTGAAAGTTTAACATGTTGGATGGTATGATAATTGAGTGGGCTGTTTTGTGCTGGATGATGCTGGGTTTCTTTCATTTTTTTTTTTGGAACTGAACTCATCCAGGCAGGAAAGGAATATTCCATGACGTTGCTGAATAGTCCCTTGTGGACGATGGACATGCTTTAAGAACTAAAGAAACGAACTATTTCCAACCTGTTGTGGCCATAATGGTGTGCATGTGTGTGTGCATATCAATGGTGTGCCGGAGCAAGACAACAGATTTGGCAACGTCTGTACAGAGAAAACAGAGTTAACATTGTGAGTGACCCTTCATCAGCAGCTTGAATTCTGTCCAGGGCGTTCTGGACAGAACATCTTTAGCATCTGAGGTGTAGTGAATGGTACTGAATGAACTCTGTGCAATCTTCAGCAAACATCTCCACATCTGATTTATATTGGAGGAGATGTATGGATAAAGCCATTGCACACATCTGGTCCTAGGACACTAAACTGAGAAACTCCTTCAAATGACTTAGGGCTTAGACGATTGATCTCCAACAACTCAACAATCATCCTTTGATCTAGATATAGTTCCAATCACTGAAAGGAGTCCCCACCTATCCTCAATCCCCAATTGCAATAAACTTTAATTTTACTAAGGCTTATTGGTGCTACACTCAATCAAATGTTGCCTTGATGTCAAAGACTATCCTATTTAACATTTTGAGTTCATCTCTGGTTCCAGACCAAACTTGGACCAGTGTGTGCCCATCCCTTGTTGCCCTTGAACATAGACTAGACCAGGTAAGCATAGGAGATTTCCTTTACCAAAAGACATACAGGTTCACAATATATACTAATGATTTTAGATCTGGGAACTAAATAGAACAAAGAAAAATGAACAATACAGCACAGGAACAAGCCCTTTGGCCCTCCAAGCTGTGCTGACATATTTTGTGTGTACGACAAATGTATGATCTCCAACTTTGCAGAAAGCATAAAAGCTGGGTAGGAGAGTGAACTGTGAAGAAGATGCAGAGATACTTCAGTGTTATTTAGATCAGTTGAGTGAGTGGACACAAGTGTGGTGGATGAAATATAATGTGGATAAATGTGAGATTATATGCTTTTGTAGCAAAAACAGGAAGGCAAATCATTATCTGAATGAGGGTAGATTGAGATAGAAGGACACCCAGATTTCGTTCTACACCTGTGGCTGAAAGCAAGCATGTAGTTGCATTAGGTAGTGAAGTCTTGCTGCAATAGTACAGGGCCTTGGTGAAACCACACCTGGAATATTCTGTGCGATTTTGGTCTCCTTTTATTTGAGGAAGGTTGTTCTGGTTATGGTGGTAGCACAACTGAGGTTTCCCAGACTGATTTCTGGAATAACAGTACTGATGTATGAAGAGAAAACTGAATTGGTTAGGTGACTGTATTGAGGTTTAGGAGAATGAGGGGTGATCTTATAAAAACCTATAAAATTCTAACAGGTCTAGACAGGATAAGTGCATATTTTGTTTCCTGTTGTAGCCCAAGTCCATTCTTTCTTTGTATGGTGCAAATTCTCAAAGAAAATCTGAGTATTCAATTGCAACAATTCTCTCAGCTATTTTGCGTCAGGAGCTTCAAGAAGCAGTATTTGTGTTGGAAAGAAATTTCTTTCCAGCCTTCCTACCTGAAGGGATCAAGGTTTATCCTCAGGCACTGTTGTATATTTAGGCAGTCAACAGTCATCTACTTGTTGAAGAAAGAGTCATTTTGCCTTCCACAATGACTTATTTGCATATTTTAGTTCTTTACAAATGCAGTCTGCCATTCCACTTCCTAACCAACATCACTTATGAATGGAAAAGCATCTCTTTTTTTTTTTCTTCAACCTGTTTAGATATGTTCTGTCACACCTCTGGAGCAGGTATGTCTTAAATCAGACCTTCTGGGCTCGATGTAGGGGCACTACCACCGCACCAAAGTGTTTGAGAACCAGCCCTTTTCAAGATCAACCCATGGGTTTTTTTTTAATCAACCGGTTTGGAGATGTTATTACATATTTCTCGAGCAGGTGGGACTTGAACTTAGGTTTCCTGCCTCAGAGATAGAGACACTCCAACTGCACCACAAGCGACCAAAACCTCAATTTCTGTAGTCATCCAGCATTCCCTACACTTACCAGCCTTGCCGAAGAGTGGCGGATGGATCTTAATTTAGATAAATTTGAGGTGCTGCGTTTTAGAAAAACCAAATCAACGCAGGATGTATGCACTTAATGGTAAGGTCCTGAGGAGTGCTACTGAACAAAGAGACCTGAACAAAGAGTGCTACTGAACAAAGAGTGCAGATTTATAGTTCCTTGAAAGTCGAATCACAGGTGGACAGGATAGTGAAGAAGACATTTGGTATGCTTGCCTTTATTGTTCAGTGCATTGACTATAGGAGTTGGGAGGTCATGTTGCGGCTGTACAAGACATTTGCTTAGGCCACTATTGGAATACTATATTCAATTCTAATCTCTGAGCTGTAGGAAGAATGTTGTGAAACCTGAAAGGATTCAGAAAAGAGTATACAAGGATGTTTCCAAGGTTGGAGGGTTTGAGCTATAGGGGGAGGCTGAATAGACTGGGACTGTTTTTTCCTGGAGTGTCGGATGCTGACGGGTGAGTTTGTAGAGATTTATAAAACCATGGGGGGCATGAATAAGGTGAATAGACAAGGTCTTTTCCCTGGGTTGGAGGAGTCCAAAACTAGAGGGTATAGGTTTAAGGTGAGGGGAAAGATTTAAAAGGGAGCTACGGGGCAACTTTTTCACACAGAGGTTGGTGTGTGTATAGAATGAGCTGCCCGAGGAAGTGGTGGAGGCTGATACAATTACAACATTTAAAAGGCATCTGTATGGGTATATGAATTGGAAGGGTTTAGAGGGATATGGGCCAAATGCTGGCAAAAAGGACTAGATTTATTTAGGATATCTGTTTGGCATGGATGAGTTAGACCCGGGGTTGTTGATTTGTTTTGTCGAGCTGGTAGGTTGGTTTGCAGACGTTTTGTCATCATACTAGGTAACATCATCAGTGCGCCTCTGAAGCGTTGTTGGTCTGTCCCGCTTGTTATTGATGTGGTGGTTGGCCTCATTTCCAGTTCTGTTTTGTAGTGGTTGGTATGTGGGGTCTGCTTCCATATGTTTGTTCATGGAGTTCTGGGTTGAGTACCAGGCCTCTAGGAATTCCCAAATGTATCTTTTGGTTGGCTTGTCCCAGGATGGTTGTGTTGTCCCAGTCAAATTGGTGGCCTTCTTTCTCCGAGTGTATGGAAAAGAGTGATAGTTGGTCGTGGACTAGTCTTTCAAAAATTTTAAACCAATTAATTTTTTTTAAGGCTGTGGCAGTGCTGGACCTCATTATAACCCTTGTAATGAAACTCACGGAGCACCAGAAGACAAAAAGAGGTGAGTTTTATCTAAACAGTAAAGTTTGAAATGCTGAATAACTTATTGAAAAACTTTGTTACCATATTAACTAATTTGACTAAGTACACCTTGTACTGTAGGCTTTACAGTTGCACGGCAAATAAAGTAAATGTAGATATATGTGAGGTTATCCACTTTGATAGCAAAATCGGGAAGGAAGATTATTAGCTGAATGGCTATAGTTTGGGAAAAGGGGAGGTGCACTGTGAGCTTGTACACGAGTTGCTGAAAGCGAGCATGGAGGTATAGCGGGTCGTGAAGAAGGCAAATGGTATGTTGGCTTTCATAGTGAGAGGATTGAAGCAGGGATGTCTCACTCCAATTGTACAGAGCTCTGATAAGGCAATTTTTGCATCATATCTGAGGAAGGATGTTCTGGCTATGGAGAGTGCAACAAAGGTTTACCAGACTGATTCCTGGGATGGCAGGACTGCTGTATGATGAAAGACCGGATCAGTTAGGACTATATTCACTGGAGTTTAAAAGAATGAGGAGGATCTCTAAAATGGATTCATTTATCAGATCAGGTTTCAGAGTATTTTTAAGTCATACTATATTCCACTGCAAAGTTTTTTTTTAAAGACAAATCGTTTTGGTTGGTAAACCAAATATGCCTGTTGAGTGACCTTTTGGAGTATAGGGGTGGATCCAGTCAAACTGCAACTCTATTCTAAAAGCAGCTGACCAAAGACACTTATGCAGATTTGGTGATGAATGACTGTTGCCCGAGGAAGGTTATTTAAAATGGAATGCAGAAATAGAATACAGATTTGTTCTCCGATGAAAGACATAAATGAACCAATTCGCAGGTAACCATGAATGAATAAATTAGAGTTTGTTTTGAATCAACAAGGTGTTGTGCCCCGGCTTATTTTGAGAGTTGCTAAATGAGTGCAAGTGTGTTGCACCTGTACTTTAAACAGACAATATTTTGTTACAGAGTCCTTTTAGGAATCGGGAGGAAATTAGTGATCATGATTGCACTTTGGAAATTGGACAAACTCTGCTTTTCTCAGAAATTAGAAAATTTTGTTAGCTAAAGAATAGAAATTTCATGACGAAAACATCCCATTTGGTCTAACTGGTTCACTGTGGGATTTAAGTATTTATCTATGCTTATTTCTCATTGAGCAAATTCTTGCTCGTTGTTTTTGACTGCCTTCTGGGATAACAGACAACAATTTGTCTTGAGTTCCTAAAGACAGGGTCTATAAAATGTAAAATTAGTTGTCATGGCTGAATTTTCCCATTTGCAGTTAGCATGGCCATGAATGAGTTTCAGTGTCCAGCCCACCTTAGCCTGTAGCAGGTTTTCTCACGCAACCTTCTACCTTCATGTCCTTGATTATGCAGCTGATGTTAAGAACATTTCTTGGGGAATCTCATGGCAAGCAAGGTGGTAGTGCTTGCCTCTGTCAGGACCTTTTTAACTTTTCTACACCATATTTAAAGCACAGCTGCACTGTGGTGCTCATTTCTGAAACCTCAGTAAATGCTGCCAAAGAAAGCCAAGCCTACTTCCAAGACAGAATTCCGAAGTTGCTGGGAGACTGGGCGGGCGGGGTTGGGGGTTGGGGGAGGGGGGAGGAAAGAGGCAGCCGTCATCTTTACTGACCATCACAAATGGCCAAATCAATAGACCCAGCCAGTCTGACAAAAGTTTCAGCATGTCAAAAGCAGTGTCACAAGAAGGTTTGCAAGGGTCAGTACCATTTTCTCATCCTCAAATGTATTGCACACATTGTCACCTGTTAGGTCTCAGTTTCCAACGAGAGTCTGACTCAGAGGGTGGTCTCAGGTAACTTTTGTTGCAGCTTTATTATCAGTCCAGCTTCACATCTCCAGAGCAATAACATACACAAAGTTTTGGAATGTCTTGATGTATACAGTTTAAACTTAGAACACATACGCTACCCACCTCGCTTTGTTTACTATTGGTCAGCAATGCTGAGTTATCCCCTCATAATTGGATGTCTGGTATAGCATTGTATGCAGTGCAAGCTTGCCTCAGCAGTTTACTTGACACAGTTGAACTGTTGATAGTCCTTAACCCAAAGGAAGTACTACTGCATTCAGCAATTAATTTCATGTTTCCCAGACAGTCTTATCTCCCTTGAGGCTTTTCACAATAGACACTGTATTCAAATACATTCCTGCATAGACATTTGCTAGCTGCACCATTTTAACTGCTAATTAATTAGATACTTGCCTATCACTTCAGGACCTTTTTCAAATTCCTTATTGACCTCATCACAGGAAATACAAAACAATATTGATTTTTGCTAATTGTTATAATATCACTTCTAACAAAGTTATGTGGTTACACCTAATGTTAGAATTCTTTAGCTAACAAGTTTTATGTCTTATTCACTAGACACCCCTATCTTTATTCTTATGTGTCTTACAATGTGTTAATTCAAGCCACGTTCCAATGTCTGTCCATTTCTCCCTGTAATGATATGGGGGCAGCTTTTACTGTCTGAGATTAGTTTGCTCTCAAATTTTAATTTGAATCTTTTCCCCTAATGCTTTTGGTGATTGGTGAATCTATAACTACTTCAGAATCTACATCTGTGATTATCTGGAAAATTTTAATTAAAACCTACTCTTAATATTGTAACAGATCGACTAAGTAGTTCAAGAGCACTAATTAGTGTGACATGTTCTTATCTATTTCTTATGCGTAAATAACTGCAGCTGCATAGTCCATCTCAGTTCACTAACCTTGAGTCTACAGAGCTACTATTGTTCTACTTTTGAAGACTACATTAAGCAAATATTTTTTTCCTGCACATTAACTAATGTCAGCCATGTTCTGCTGTCTTAGCTATGGGCAGCTGTTGGCCATTTTGTGCTGCTTAGTCATGGGCAGCCCTAACAGCATCTCACTAAGTTAGATGGACTACAATTTTCAGTGTGTGCATGCATCTTGTCCACTTGAGCTCTCGCTCACCTCATTCTCCCAAACTCATAATGCATACTGCATTCTATACATCCTGCTCTCGCAGTGGGAACATCTTACTATCACTTCTGCTCATCACTAATTTTCTTGAGCAGGGGGTGCTTGCTAGATTAGCAAAAGAATTGCAATTAGTTAAACAAAGTTAAAACCCAACTCATTCATCCTGGCAGTAAGATTGTCTCTGACTTTCCAGCTCTAGGATTCATGCTTCTTAAGTGCTCACATGGATGGCTGACCTGGTGAATGTTGTGATCTTCAACCGCATCTTCATGCTCTGATATTGTTGTTCACCCCTTGATTTCTTCTGAGACTTTCCCCAACTTTCTCAGCTGCAGTTATGAAGGACAAACCATGCCTGAATGAAGCCCATCCTCCTCTTTTATTGCCCCGCCCCCCCAAGACTTGCTTTCTCTAGGACCAATTGGACTGTCACACGATGAACCCTGACCATTATTGACCAAACCCCAGGACTGACTTGACAGGACAGCCATGGCAATCTCCAGACTTAAGTCTCAATGATAACCTGACTGACCATGATCTATCCCCTCGGCTCCAAGGATCTGGATCCCTGGACTTGCATAGGACCAAGTGCCTGACTGACCAAGGCCAATCCCGAGAATTGGAATAGGACTGACTCCCCATTGCCTGCTGCTTCCTCTCTGCGAAAAATCAAGCTAAACTGAAGAGGTTGGCAGCCTGTAACTCGGTGCTCACGACCTTGTGAGCTAAGAAGGCGGTAAAGCCCACACATATGCTGCTGGCAGCCTCCAAGTAATTGCTGAAGTCAGTGAGCACTAGGAAAACAGTGTGACCCATATAGAAACTGGCAGCCTATAACTCTACAATACAGTCAGTGATTGTAAAGAAAGTAAGCTAAACACCATAAGATATTTGTGACTATGTCAGTACAAAAGCTTCCTGTGTAGTCACGTGAAATACATGATTATCGCTGCACATACTGCAACCTGGCAGAAGCATACAAGTCAGCTGCAGCTCCAAAGTAAAGTGTTGTAGGCCTGAATAGTTGGCTGAGTTGATTCAAGAGCAGACCTTAAAATATGGTGAGACTACTGACATGCTGATGAATGAAGGGTTGAGGAGGATGGTGGCCATAGAGCATGTACGTGCGTTATGCAGATTAAGCAGTTATATAAAGCCTACATCAAGCATTTGGTGAGCTGCAAGGTACCCACTGTGTCCAATCTGTTAGGTTTTTGCACCACCTAATTTCATGCTGGAGGAGAGAAAAATTGAATGTGGATGTCAATCGTGAGTTGGGGTCTCAATGAAATGCAAGTATATGGATATAAGTTAGTCACCAGTCAAGGATGAATTCCATAAGAATTTCAGAGTATAGATGCCTGTGCAACTACAAGATCTGTGCTGTGGAGCATGTCAATTTCAACACCCAAGAATATTCAATATAGCAAGACGTTCACCTCGTACGTTCCTGTCACTCGGGTGCACCTGGGAAGAGTTTATAAATTCTGTAATTTTCAAGTGGAATCAGGTCCCCTGTAAGCCACCTTGCTCTAAAGAACATGACCCGAGCTTATCCAGCCTCTCTTCGTAGCTAAATTGCACCATCCTAGGCAACATCCAGGTGAATCTCCTCTGCCCCCTCTCCAGTGCAGTGACCTACCTACATCTTGCCTACGTTGCAGTGACCAGAACTGCATAGAATACTCCAGCTGTGGCTTTTGTTCAGCTCCAATATAACATCCCTGCTCTTAAAATCTATGCCATGACCAATAGAGGCGGTGTCCTGAATGCTTTCTTAACTACCCTATTAACCTGTCCTGCCGCCTTCAAGAATCTGTGGACAAGCACTCCAAGATCCCTCTGTTTCTGTGAGCTTCTAGTGTCCTGCCACTCACTGAGTTCTCCCTTGTCTTGTTACAGCTTCCAAAGTGCATGACCTCTCACACATAGGGTGGAACGTGTATGGAATGAACTGCTAGAAGAAGTGATAGAGGCGGGTAAAATTACAACATTCAAAAGATATTTGGACAAGTACATGAATAGGAAGGGTTTCAAGGGATATAGCTGAAATGCAGGCAAGTGGGACTGGTTCAGTTTAGGATACCTAGCTGGCATGGATGAATTGGACTGAAGGGTCTGTTTCTGCGCTGTTATGACTCTGGCTTGCTTAGAGTTAAATTCCGTCTACTATTGATCAGTCCATCTGGCCAGTCTGTCTATATATTCCTGTAACCTAAGATGACTTCCTTCCTCACAGTCAACCACTTGGCCAATCTTTGTAAAGTTATTGTGCAGTTAAATATTGATCCAGCATAACAAGTTTATAATGTTGTGCTCGTGAGAGTGACTTGCAGACTGTACCTATAATGCACTGATTTCCTACAATCCTTCATGTTCTGTTTTCTATTGCTGTACCTATGGCCCTGGTGACTTTTCAGGGCACCGCTCCACCCATTTTTGGTTGAGCCCTTTTACATCACTACTGATATGCCTTGAAAATTCTCATGCGCTTGTTGGCTCTACGCACCTACACCATGTAGACACAAACGTTACTGTGGCTTGCTTGAACGCTACTACTACTACCACTACTACCACCACCACCACCTTCCAGAGCTCCCAGTCCCCTCCCATATCCCAGACACGAATTGATACTTTGTCCAAGACTTCATGTATTGCCCCTAATAAGCACCCTGACCATTATTGACCTAAATCCTATGAATAAATGACTGTATTGCACTCCAGGATTGACTTAGCAGAACCGCCCTGAGACCATGGCTCACCTGCCATACTGGTATCTCATCCCGATTAAGACATGTACTACCTGTAATCTCTGGACTGCTTGTACTTTACCTGCAGGACTGTGCCTAATTTCCAGGCTGCAAGGACGCTGATCACTGATACTTGACTGACTGTGGCAAGTCCCCTGGATTGAAATGATCAGTATCTTGACTGATGACAACTCTGATTCATTCAAGATTCTGCAGCCTGCTGTATACAATCTTGTGAGCGCCATCGTCTACAAGCTCCCTCAGCTTGCATGTCGTAGTGAATAAAAGCTTGCATTTGTGTCCTCTATTTCCAGTTACTCATGATTTTAATGTTCTCCTACCTTAGCTCCTTGATTTTACTTTTGCTTTAACTCCAGATTTCTGTTCAGCTTGCATTTTTATTTGTTACTATTGTCAAATATTCATTATCACTACATTCCTGACCTTTGAAATTCCCAAATGGAATGTCCCATATTGACAGTTCCTTCCACTTTTAAAATTCTACCTTGAATATTTATGGTTTTCATATTAATCTCTGTTTTGACTCCCTTTTCCCACAGGTTTAATGATGACTGTCTTTTTTGCACATGGGAGTTCTATATAAGCGCAAGTGTGGCCCATTGATAGAAGAGTCAAACTTTTGCGCAGAATTCCTTTAGACCTTTACTTTGCTGAAAACTTGTTGGAATAGAAATGTATTGACAGGCATAATTGTTCATTTGGCAGCAGGTTTGTTTTGCAGTTAAGCCAGGTGCTGAACCAGAGGAACTATCTTTTCTTTTCCCTTTCTGCAATAACCTGTAACTTATTCTGCATTAAGCTCAAATTAACTTATGATGGGATAAATCGGGTGATGTGGTTTAATATTTTCAGCTGATCTTGGCAGAGGTTTTATATTTAAAGGTGTTACCTGGGAAATGTGTGGTCTTATCCCCCGTTTGATTATTTTTATTTTGGAGATCCATTGAATTACAATGCCATAAGTCAAGGAAACTGCTTCTCCATTGATTTACAAGTAGTAACCAGAGAGGATTTTGTTTTAGGCAAAGAGGTTTTAGTGGGAATTCCCCTTTATGAAATATTGGTGAAAGAGGAGGAAAGATAAAGAGAGCTAAATGTGGCAATTTTGGTGATGGATTAAACCAAAATGTCTGTCTTCAAATAGGCCCACGAGATCTTCTAAGTGAGGAACTGTTTTTGCAGGTTTAGATTCACAAAGGAATCCTCAGCTGATCTAGTTTCTATATGTTAAACTTCCAGGACAGATTTAATAGTGAAACATCTTGACAACTAATAGCAGAGCTGGGTACAGATCTAATTTTTCATGCCACTGATTCATTTTATATTGCATCCGGACCTTCTGTAACAGCAGTTAGAGTGCAATCCTGTCCAACAATCCCAAGGCAGTCATTGCTATTTTTAGGAAAGCTGGGACATTACCATTTTGGTATGGCCTATAATAGAAACATGAAAGAACTATTCAATTCCATCATTTTGTTACTTTCATACTTTATCACAATCAAATGTGATTGCATGTTCAGGTTGTTTGTGAACACCTACGATTAATTCTCCACATCAATACCCAATACTTAGTGTATTGTAACAATTACCTCTTGCTAGAGGGAATATGGCTATCAAGATAAATCAACATCATTTCTGTCTTTGCCTTTGGTCATACAAAAGCTGTCTGGTTTGAAGGGCATTTGATTACTCAACAATGTCTTAGTATTACCGTGAAGAGGATGAGTGTGACTATAACTCATCTTTAAAACCAAAGAGAATTCTTCAATGGCAGGCTGACTGAGTGACTTGTAAGCCACTTTGAGACCATTGGAAGTCAGTCATGTAGTGGGGAAACTGACATTAAAAGTGAACCAGGTGTATCAAAATTGGTTTTAAAACTTGTCATGAATGGATTTGAAGTCAACCTCTTGATTTAGACTAGCACCATAACCACTAAACAACTAGATTCAGCTCGAAAGGATTACTGCATTAGATGAGATAAAATTATATCCACTATGGCAACATAAAGATGTGAAAGGTGAGCTGTTTTATACACAATTTACTGAATTTAACAATTTTTTTCATAACTTTGTTTCTAGAAGCAATTAGACTGTGGAAAATTCTGGCATATTGCGTCACTGACAGTAGTCATGATGCTTTGTTCAAAGGAAAGGCTTTGGCAGCTACATGGCTTTATTAAAAATGCTTAAATAATGAATGAATACATTTAATTCTGATTAAATCACAATTCTTCAATCCATATAGACATGTAGGTGACCTGGGGAACATAGAAGCTGATGAAAATGGAGTAGCTTGTGTTGATATGGTAGACCGACTTCTTCGCCTGGCAGGAAAGTATTCTATTATTGGACGTACCTTGGTGGTAAGTGTTAATACTGTACCGTCAAGTAGTGTATCAGTACACAGGCTATAGCACGGTTGGAAAAAATACCTTCTTTTCTTCACCAAATTAGAATAAAAGATTGAGGCATTTCAGATTGGTATTTGGAGATGCCATTCTTCACCAGCACTATTGAAAGATCAGTGAAATGTAATTACAAAAGCAAGTATTTCTAAAAAGATCATATTAATCTTGCTGTTAACCATCCTTGAAAAAGTATAGATTAGAGCAATGTATTAAATCTGCTTTGCATAAATTTTTAGAAAACCTTTGATAATCTGTCACATTAGAGACTCACTATAAGACTCATTGCGATTCATCACAACTTAGAGCAAAGTGGGTTGTGTCCCAAGTAGCAGAATGATATGAAGGATGGCTGTAAGGCAAAAGATAGAGAGTGAGAGTTAAAGGAAGCCTGTCTAAATTTCAGAAAATGAGTAGTAGTGTCCTGAAGTGATCTATGCAGGAACAACTCATTCAACATTGAACAATCTAAACTCAGGACTTAGGGAGTTTTAACATCACTTCTCTATTAAGTTAGGCAATTCCCTTTACTAAATTAGACACTAGGCTACTAATGTGGAGGATTGCACAGATAATAAAGTAAGATGTAAATATGCTTGTGGAGTGAGCAGACAAAAGGAAACTTTTTTGCAATTTAGTAAACTGTGAGGTGATTTATTTTTCTGTGAAGAATAAGGACATCTCTTTGCATTTAATTTCTTAATGAAGCTGTAACAGAGCAGAGAGACCTTGAAATACATATTGACATACATCAGTAAAAATTGCTAGACAAGTTGATAAAACATTGGAAACAGGTGCTGGTCTTCCTCTAGGAATATAAAAATGGTGACAACGTTGAATATATATTGTGACAGTGAGGCTACACTTGGATTACTATATGAAGTTCTGATCTCCATATTACAAGGAGAACATCGAAACACTGGAAAGAATACACAAGATTTGGAAAAAAAACAAAGTTATTGTCAGAATTGAAAGGCTGTAGCTATCAAGTAGGGAGCAACAAGCTTTTGTGACTTTTTCTCTGGAAAAGAAAAGACTAAGTGACTATAAATTTATCAGGGAGTTCAGTTTGATGGAGAGATAGAAACTGTTTCCATTTGTGGGAGAAAAAAAGGATGTAACAATAATAAATGTTACAGATGTGGAGAGATGGTAGAATGGTCCCTGCTTTTACGACCTCTTGACTGACTGAAGGTAGATGTGTTTTAAAAAAGAAAAGTGTTCTAACACCCTGAGTGCTGTAACTCTAAAGAATAGACAAATTACAAGATTTTTGGTAGGTTCGCAAAAGGATCATTTTGCTTTATAACTCAACATATGTGATAGTGCCCTATCTCACATGCGTGCATGCGCATGCACACATAGAAGAAAAGGTATGAGAAAAGAGGTACCATGCACCTAAATGTCTAATTAGTCACCAGCCTACTTGCTTGCTTTGAGATGAGGTCTTGAAATGCTTTGATTACATTTTTTTGAAGAAATAAAACTTAGAGTTATGAAGATATAATATATTCGGATTCATCCCACAACCATTCTTTAGAATCCTATTTTAAAACCAAGACGTCTCCATGTCTATTCTGTACAATTATTTAAAACTGCTTAGATAATAGCAGCCGTTTATGTTCGGGAATGATTTGTTACATTTTAATACTTCTCAATAAAATGTCTCAGAAAATCATTTATATTCAATGCATTATCCAAACATTCCAGAGCCAACTAGTTCCAGGATGAGTGGTTTTGGGAATGGTGCATGGTAAGATGGGGCAGAAATTGAATGTGGTGCATGCTATAGGAGTGGAAATTGCAGTTAATTTGGCGACTATTAAATGTAAAGAAAAATAATATAATTGTGCAAAGACAGGTGGCAGATCAGAAGATTGGACAGAATATTAAAAAAGCAAAGAATGACAAAGGGGGATAAAGTTGAATACAAGAGGAGTATATCCGGAAACATAAGAGCAGATAATAATAATTTCTGTAAATACTTAATGAAGAAAAGTTAATAAAGTTAACAATCTTTCGAAAGAAAGCAAGAGGAGTCTGGAAAATTGGTAATGGAAAATAAAGAGACGGCAGTTGATTTGATCAGGTAGTTTGCATTTGTCTTCATTATTGAGAACACCAGTAACTTGAAATAAATTTGGAAATGGAAGGGAGGGAGGAGCTCAGGAAAATCACAATCACCACAGAGTGGTACTGCACAAACTATAGGAGCTACTGGCTGGCAAAAGCTCAAATCCTGATGGACAAGGCTCGTCTCCAGTGGATTTTAGAAGGGCTGACTCAATTGAAACGTAGCAAATCCTGAAAAGTCTTCCCAGGCTTGAGGTGGAGGATATTTCCTATTATGGGAGAATATGGAACTACAGGTCGCTCATTTAAAACAGAGAGGCGGCAATTTTTTTTTTCAGGTAATGAGTCTTGAGAATTCTCTTCCTAAAATGATGGTCGAAGCAAAGTCTTTGAATAATTTTAAAGCAGAGTTGGATAGATTCTTGATAACCTTTCTTTTAGCCTCTTATTTATCAGGTGTAGATGGGAATTGGCAATTAAGGATACAGTCAGATTAGCTATGATCTCTTGTTCATAGCTCCTGTTTGACTGAGCCTTATTCTACATTTTTGGTCTTATTGCACTAATGCAAGCTGTGTGAGATAGGAATGAGTGCATGATGGTACTAGCTGGTGATCTCTGCCCAATAAGCGTAGAAGGAAGAATAAGAAGACTGTCAGCAAAAGGTGCATGTGAACAATGTGATTCATATATATTTTAATATCATTTACTTCGGATTCTTGAATTTTGAAGTGGTGGCATATTGGTTTCTGTATATCTGAACAAATTTAATGATTAATTTGTACAGAGGGTCCTGCTATAACGTGATAGATGCATTCCTGGGAAGTGACGTGTTATGGAAAATCACACTATAGAAATTCACACTATAGAAATAATGGGGTCTATGGGAAAAGTGGAATTAGGGGCAGATTAACAGAAAAAACCACCCAAAATGACTCAAATCACTCAAAAGCATAGCGCAAAGGATAGCACAGTTTGAACAAATGCTTAGTTCATATATAATAATGAAATAACAGTAAATTTATCACCTAATGTTGGAAAAAAATGTCAAGAAGACTTGATGGTGGTGGAGGTTTGAGGTAGTTGTGTTGTAGAAGCAGTTCATAGGGTGCCAAAGAAAATCTTACTTCACGAACTGCTGCCCTGCTGCATTCTGCATTGTAATTGTTGTCTTCTAATCATTGCAACTGCTTCTCAATTCCCCTCAGGATAGAAGATAAAACAGAAGTGGAAAGCTCTCGTGGTCCTGCATCCTGGACTTCCATCTTCTTCATTTCCAGCTTCCACTTCCCCCTCAGCGACAAGTTGTTGTAGATCAGCTGTAGAGAGGTCTTCACAGTGGAACTCCAGCAGCTCTTCAACATCCTCACTCTCCACTTCTTAAATTCAGCTTGCTTTGCAAGTTGAACACAATGTTCTTTGATTCTTAGGAGAGCCTCTGACGAATCAAAGCCTTTTAAACATTGAAAAAAATCTGGGAGAAGCTTCTGCCAAACTGCATGCAAGCAGTCCTTACTGACATCACCCCCAGATCTCCACAATAATGTCAGTTGCATTCTTGATGTTAAAGCTCTTCCAAAATTGAAGAACATTGTGTTCATCCCCCTCAGAGGCTGCAATCAGCTTCTTAAATGTGTGCTTTAAATAATAAGCTTTAAAAGCTGCTGTTGCACCCTGGTCCATGGGTTGAAGGGTAGAGGTTGTGTCTGGGGGTAGAAATAGCACTTTCATGTTTTCAGAAATCTCACCAATGGTCTGAAGATGGCTTGACGCATTATCCAGAATGAGGAGAATCTTAAATCCACATTTTTTTTTTTCCCTGCAATACTCTCTAAACACATCTTCGAAAGCATTAACAATAAGATCAGAAAAAAATTTGCCCAGTCATCCAACTTCTTTTGCTTGACCTAAAGTAGATGCCTCGAGTAGACTTGGGTTACCTTTTCAAGGCTCGTGGGTTGACAGAATACACCACCACAGGCTTAAACTCTAAGTCTCCACTGGCATCGGCACTCAGCAGCACAGTCATATGATCCTTTGCCACCTTAAAGCCTAGAGCATGTGCTTCATTCATTGAAATGTAGATTCTTGATGGCATTTGCTTCCAGTATAAACCTGTCTCATCCAAATTGAAAATTTGATTGAAGTTGTAGCCTTCTTCATCAATTAATTTTTTTATGGTGGGAGGAAATGCCATCGCATGTTCCTCATCTGCACTGGCAGCTTCATCACGTAACTTTACGTTATGAAAAGCATAGCGGTTCTTAAAACCAGCAAACCAGTCACTGTTAGCACTTAAAGGCATGCACATCTGCAGGATTTTCGGCTTGTTTTGTTAGATCTTTATAAATTGATAAGGCCTTCTCCTTTATGCCTGGAAGGGTGGTCCCAGATTGCTTCTTCGTTTGCTCTTCTATCCGCACACTTAGAAGCCACTCCATCTGCTGAAGTTCCTTTGTCTGTGACCTCTCAGATTTGCTAGCACTCAGACTTGTTCCAGCAATACAACTTGCTTTAATCTATTTTGCATTGTTTGTAATAGTGTATAAGGTGGACTCCCTCATTCTTGTTACACGAGCAATATCACATCTCATTATGTTCAAAAAGCTTCACAACATCTAGCTTCTCTTTCAGCATTGTAGCCTTTCTTTTATGTACACCACCCGCAATCTTATCACCAGGATGCTGCTTGTTATCATTCTTGCCACTTTGTCCTCGCATTTTCTGGGTAACACAGCAGATTTGTACAATGGTAGTGGGAACTGCCGATGCTGGAGAATCTGAGATAACAAGGTGTAGAGCTGGATGAACACAGAACACCGAGCAGGAAAGCTGATGTTTCAGGTCTGGACCCTTCTTCAGAAATGGGGGAGGGGGAGGGGAAG